TAGCCTTCCATCCAGACCCAGTGGATGCTGTTTACTGGCAGTCAGGATTTACTGGCTGGATCACAGAAGCAGGAAATGGGAGCGAATTCTGGGGACATGCACTCAGACATGGCTTCTTTATCTCTACTGCCAGCCCTGTCCATTGCTGGGGCCTACACATGGCTGGAGGGGAGGGAGGTCCACACGGTCTAATGAGTGTCCCAGGACAGAACACTGGTGTGACGACTTGGCTTCTGAGGGCGAGTAGAGCTTGGCCTGCAGAGGTTCTACTCCCCTCAGCCATGGGGGAAGTTCTACATATAAAAACTAAAATGCCTTCTAACGCAAAGATTTTCTCCTATACCAAGGGCATTTATAGAGATTCATTTTTCCCTCCAGGAGAAGGGTTTTTCATGATTTGTGGCAAAGGGGTAAAAGGGTGATTCAGGCAGCCAGCACTCTCAAAAGGCTTTTTGCTGTTTTTTGTAACCAATCAGAGCTTTCAGTGGGGAAAAATATGTTGCTCGGTGTTATAAAATTTAAGACTCTTGGTAACCTATGCTCACCTCTTAGAGGCTTCCTATACACTGAAGCCAGGGTGCTGTAATGTTTAATGAACATTTGATGAACACTCTGCTCAGATGTGCTGTTTCTACACATAGCCAACTCCACCAAGCCTTCCTTAGAGATGCTTACATTCCGTGGATCAAGTAGTCCAGGGTGTTGGCAAGCTTGTGTTTTGGTCCTAAGTAACTATGTGATTTAAGGAATTGTGTATTCTTTCTTTATTTATACAATGGTGGGAAGAGGGGCCATGGGACACCATAAGAAAGAGAGGCCTTTTATATCCTAGACAATTTATTTCCATCGAGATAACTGAGAGGGTTGGTCTCAAACATGAGCTCAAATCAAAATAGGGAAAATTGATAAAGTCATAGTGATGTGGTCAGTACATGAAGCAAAGTTTGTTGTTGTTTTTTAAGATTTTATTTATTTGTTCATGAGAGACAGAGAGAGAGAGAGAGAGGCAGAGGGAGAAGCAGGCTCCCAAGGAGCAGGGAGCCCGATGCGGGACTCGATCCCAGGACCCTGGGATCATCACCTGAGCCGAAGACGCTTAACCATCTGAGACACCCAGGCGCCCTTGTTGTTGTTTAAATAAACTCTACCCCAACCTGGGGCTCAAACTCACGACCCAGAGATCGAGAAACTGAGCCAGCCAGGTGCCCCCATGAAATGAAGATTTAGTTCCACAGGGGCTACAGGGAAATTTGCTGAGGGTTTGTAAATGTAAATTTTAATGTAACGCAATGCTACCAAATATTTTTATAATGCTTTCTCCCTTTTCCTCTGCTTCAATTTGCTGAGTTTGCAAATGTGAACTTAATATAATGCAATGCTAGCAAGTTATTTTTATGCTTTCTCCTTTTAAATTTCTGAACTGAGAGATTTCATTATACTGACTGCTTTGAACACCTGTCTCGTTCAATGCAATTATTTAAAGATAAGACAGTTTCTCCTACCTTTGGTTTAGGTGCCAAATCATTTATACAGGAAATGGTTTTGTGGAGAGCCTTCTTCTAAAACAGATTTCAATTTCAAGGAAAATGATAGAACAAAATTAACCTAAGTGCACATTCTGTTTTTAACCTCAAAACTTAAAAAAAAATCTCAAATCTAAATGGGGATATTTTTGCCATTACACATACTTAACTACAATAAACTAAAAATTGAACTCCAACAAGCATAACTGAACCATATTTTATTGCAAATGAAAAATATACAGAAACATTTAATTTAAAATTCATAAACTTTCTAAAATGAACAGTACATATAAACATTTGAAAAATAGAAAATTTTATGACTATAGAGTTTATTCCAAATATTTGGGAACATTTCATATATATTCATACAAATTACTTTTCCACAAAGTTTTGTTAGAATGTGAAGATTGCATTTAGTTCAGTTTTATGGGCTTTAAGAAAAAATATTTTTGTTGGACTCATTTTGGTGTTGAGATTAGTTATAATGATGGAATTCATTTTCACTTGGATTATTTAAAACAAGCTAATGTGACACAACTTAAGAAAAGATGAAGAATGTATGAAAATTGGCAACTAATTGTCCTTAACTATCTAGTAATAGGACAGTAAGAATCAAAATGTCGATTTAAAGAGAACTAAATTCTATTAAATGACTCATATGTCAGGCCCGATGTGGGGTGCTTTCCATGATTTCATTTGGTATCCTTAAAACAAAGGTGTTAATTTCATGCTGCTAAATCTAAAGAGTTTTATGAATACTCTCTGCAATCTGAACTAAAAATAAAGTTCTTTTTTTTTAAAGATTTTATTTATTGATTTGAGATACAGAGATACAGAGAGAGAGAGAGAGAGCATGAGCAGGGAGAGAGGCAGAGGGAGAGGGAGAACCAGGCTCCCTGCTGAGCCAGGAGCCTGATGTGGGGTTCGATCCCAGGACCCTGGGATCATGACCTGAGCTGAAGGCAGATGCTTAAACATCTGAGCCACCCAGGCGCACCTAAAAATAAAGTTCTTAACCATTGACCTACAATAAAATTATGTCAAAAAATAAGATGAAACTCATATTTACAGAATTTGGGAAAACTTTCAATCTGGCTGTGTGAAGACAGCTTTGTAATCCCTAATGACTCATGTGCAGACGTTCACATAATAAATCTTAAGATACGTAGGTGAGATAAAGATATACGTTAAAATATATACATATATGAAACTACCAGTTAAGACTAACATAGTCTGAATACAGGGATCCAGCACTTTATTCCTTCTTAGACAGTATCTTCCTATTTGGGAAAAAATTGTTAGTTTTAGGTTTACAGTAACATTTTGGTTTTTCAATGCATATACCCACCATGGATTTTTAGGGTTTTAAAAATATTTCATTGTTTCTCCAACATGTTTCAACTTGTTAAATCTTTCTCAGCCTTTCTCCTGGGCATATATGTCAACACCAGTTCATTTTCCAATCCAGGACGCCCATGAGTTCTTGTGTTCCTTGAACCTTTAGCCTGGGCGCAATATACCAAGGGCAAAGCTTTGTAACAGGTGACGTTTAAGAAATACCTGACACTGACTCTCACTAGAGTGGAGAACCACCATTGCCTCAGGCTGGATGCCCTTAATTTCCTCACTAAGAACGTGTCCTGGAGAAACCAGTAGAGTTTTTCAATAGGAAAGAAAACCTTTAAAAGAATTTCTACTATTTTTAACTCTACCTTTTCAGAAAATACTTCTCCTACAAACTTGTGTTCATAGCTTATATCTCTGATATACAATTAAAGTGAAACAGCAATCAACAGAGTAAACACGTACTTGACCTGAGGTATCAACCCATGTATCTTCCATGGATAATCAATTTTCAAAAATAGGAACGCACTGAGGTGCACTCAACACTGACTTGTGCTGAAGAGATGTTGACAGCCCTTTCCAACTCCATGGTCACCTCAGGACATTCCTGGGAACATCAGTCAGAGCTCAACAGAACTGGGAAATGCCAAAGTCAGTTGAATAGAATCCTCGATAAGAGAATTTACTATTATTACCCAGGACAAATTTGAGCTAGATTACAAACAAACAAACAAAGGAAACTAATAACATCTTATGTTGGAACAGAAAAAAAATCGAATCAACTGAAAGGTTTGTTTTGTTTTGTCTTAATGTCATAACTTTTTGGTTAGGACTTTTGTTTTGACAGAAATAAGTTTAGTCTGGAAGTAGGTAATTTCTTTCTCATGAAATCAGTGAGTGATATCTGTCCATAAACATGAAAGCCCACCAAAAATGTTATTCCTGCTGTGCGCTTGGAGACAGGAAATTTGTATAGAGGTCATAATATGCAAAAGGTATTTTCCTGTAGTAGTCTCTGAGGTCTCAATATTTTGTTTTCTGGGAAGTTCAGTCCCCTTCCTATTCCCCCAAAACACTTCTCAATAAAATGTATGGAAAATATGGTCAGGATGAAATTCAACAGAAGAAGACAAACCTACCACTTATTGTGGTAGGATATGTATATTTTTAAAAAGGTTAGTGACTAACTATAGTTTCCTTAATAATGGTGAAAGTACCAAATTTCAAGAGAACAATTATGATAACTCATTCAGGGTTTTGCAAAGATTTTTCTAATTATTTCCAAACAGTCTGTGGAAAACTTACCCTTTGGGGATTAGACATTTGAGAAAAATTGAGGTGTACCATATAATCCTAAAGTAATGTACCAGTTACTTTTACAAAAGTCTGTCAACAGGAAAAATGACCTTTGGGATAACACAGAAAGGGACAAAGCTGAAATCACTTGGACTTCTCCAGAAACTCAAGTTTGTCTTACATTGTTTGGGTTTGAGTTAAAAGAAGCCTTGAATGTAATCATTTGTATTTGTGTGTGTGTGTGTGTGTGTGTGTGTGTGTGTGTGTGAAAAGAAAAAACACTGTATTTCATTTAAGTATTTCTCTTTCTCCATTCTCCCCTTTTGAATTGGTAATAAATTTTTCTGATATGGCAATAAATTACAATCCATAAGCCCTTCATGGGCTGTGTGTCTTATGCATTCTAGCCCACCAAGGAGCAAATTTCCAAGGCAGGCCTATTTTTTTCTTTAACATTCCACTCTTTAGCTATCTAGTTTAGAAAGAAGGAAGTTATAGAGGGTGGGGGGGAAGCACCAGTAATCTCGCTTCTCAGGTTTAATAATTTGAAACTATGACTTTCAGAGAATGATGATTGATACTCTGCTTATCAGCACATAGTTAAGTATATCTATGAATTACTAAGAATAGCAGCCAAAGAAATGAGCCACCTGGCAGAGACAAATACATTGTGACCATAAGATATTACTCGGAGACTCCTGTAACTCTTTAACTTCTTTTGTGGTTAGAGATTATTTCAAGTTTGTAGAAATGACAAACAGTAGAAGTCTTCTAAAGGAGGATCCAAACCTTGATTTTCAAATTTGATGGCCCAAAAGGAAGGCCTTTTTTTTTTCCCCTAACAGTTCTTCAAAAAAATCAGGCCTTTCTTATCCTCTCCAAGTGTCTTATGTGGTTTAAGTTCAGGGTTTCTAGAGACTTTGATCATCAGTCCTGCTAAACAAGGTAATGTCATCACTGAATCCTGGGGTTGAACACTCTGTGTTCTCTAGTAAGACATATTTGTCTTCCCCACCATTCAGAGAGAGGACTTCTTTCTGAGTAGTGGATGTCAGGTCACTCCAGGTAATGTCAGTGTGCTTAAACGCATGTAGAAGGAAGATGCCATTGATAATGGTGAAGAACCCACTCAGGGTCCCGATGATATCTCCAGCTTTCATGCCGTACCATTCTTGGAATAAGATGGCGGAGCAAGTTACTACCATGGATGTGAAGAACACATAATAAATGGGAGTCACAAGAGATGTATTAAAGGTGTCCAGTGCCTTGTTGAGATAGTTAATCTGGGTTGTCACTGAGAGCGCAAGTACAGCCAGCAAAACGAAGACCAGGGGGTGCTTGTAAACTGGTTTCCATTCCAATAGTTCCTTAATGGCAATTCCCAGGCCCTTGACAGAAGAAACTGAAAATGCTCCAATTAATGAACAGATTGAAATGTAGACCAATATATTGGTCTGTCCCTTCTTGGGAGCCACGATCAAAATCAGCACCAACGAGATCACAGTTATGATCACAGCAAAGGAGATAAATCCTGTTTGGAAGACAAAAGAATTCAACTTCAGAAAATGCTAATAGGACCATATCTCTTGTGAAACCTTGTTAGCCATGAATTTAGGAGTGTAGGTGTTTCAGAAAGGGAAGTGATATTAAATTAAAACAACAAAAACAAGACGACATTTTGCTGCATGGCTCTCGACATTTTACAATGGACCTTCACAAACATATCCTTTGAATCTCACGAATAACACTATGAGGTACGGCAGGTATGATCTGACTGACTTTTTATTTTCGGAGGGGGAAAGTGGCCAAAGCTGGGGTTGGAGTATATGCCTTTTGCCCCTCCTAGCCCCCATCTCTTTTCAGTGTGTAGGGAGCGAGCATGGACAGAACAGAACGTTGTGTCACCTTTACACAAGACTGGTAACCCAGTCAAACCTTCCTGTATCACACAACCCATAATGAGGCTTCAAGGGAGCCTTTTACGGTGTTATTACAAATTCATTTGACAAGGAGAGAGAGTGGAACAGAATCTGAGTGTTTCTTTTGGTTGAATCACAGACCTGGGTCTCTCAATTTCATTTCCATTTCATGCAAAGAAGTGACTTCCTCTTCTTGTGGGGCGTGGATAACCATCATAGTTGACCCCAATATACTTAATATGCAGCCTATTTTCCCATGAATGTTCAAGTGCTCGTTTAAAAAGTAGGAAGACAATATTGCACTGTTGGGAGAAGAAAAAAAAAATCACTCTCATTCAATTAACACTGGATTCCATAGCAGCTCAGAAGTCACACTGTGGTACCTGCCCCTCTATCCCAGTCGCCAATCAACTGATCTGAATACGCTACAGGATGGACGCCGAGAAACCTGATTAGTTTTAAGACTCAGAAATGGTCAATCAAATCTGCTTGCTCTTATATCAAGAGTTTTAACAGACATCCTGTACCCGTGTCATCTTCCCAAGAGAGGTAGGTCCCACTCAATTAATTTTCAGTTTCCCCATCTTCTCCCGCAAAGCCAAACAAAAGAGAAGATCTTTTACATCTTACTGGCATGATTCATTGAGAATGTGTGCACCTGTGAAAGCTTCAAAGAAAGACACATGTCTAAAGAAGAATCACTCTGTTCAGGGCTGATATTTAGCTAGTACACACAAGTACAACCATATGGGTTGTCAAAATATTGAAGTATTTCTTTACCAGCTGCTTCTACCCTCATACTTTCACTTACTCAAAAGTCCCCACCGTTTGGCTGCCATGGCCTTAGGAAGTTCTATTGGCACCACCATGGACACCAGACTACGCCATTCTGCTGCTTCACCAAATAGGTCTGCTATAGCTCCTGCATACCAGCCTCCTTCCCCTGATGCCCTGGCACTCCCACAAGGGTATGATCTGTACCAAGGTGCACCTGAGACTGTGGTCCATTACCTGGCACCTTCTTAGAGTCATCCTCATGCGGCCACTTGGGAGGACTGCAGCCTCAGCCAAAACACTGCTACTACTAAGAGTTATGGTTCCATGCATAGACAGTGTTCTAGAACTCTGTGTGTACTGACTCATTTACTTCTCACAACAGTCCTACAAAGAAGGTGAAAAGAAGTGGGTTGGCCTAGTCATAGGCTTTCTACTAGAGGTGGATAACGAATGGAGATAAAAGGAATAGAAAAATACAATAAATAATATAGTTGCTTAGCTATACGAGTTCATGCGCCCACTGAACACATTCATTTGGGATCATAATAATGACAACTCAGAAAAATGAGACCTGTGTTTTATGAACACAAAAATTATTCCTGTTTCCAGTACTAAAAGAAACTAAAAGGTCTACGAACACAAAAATTAATCCTATTTCCAGTACTAAAGGAAACCAAAAGGTCTCCAAATACAACTACCTGACAAACAATGGAAGACTTTAAGTGAGAGTTGAAATTTAACCCAAACACTATGCTTTTAAAAGTCCTCTGATCACTATGGTCATTAACTACTCTGACAACAGAAAGGACTGAAAGGGCTGTGGCAATGTGTTTAGGTGAGAGAAAGAGAGAGAGAAAAAAAATCTTTGAATAAACATAAACATAACACACAATTACTTTATGTTAGCAGGAAACCAGGCCTACTCTCGTAGGTTTTCTAAACAACACAATTTATTCCCTACTTCTACTGCACTTTCTTCTGTCTTCTCAAATGAGTTGTATGATATTTTGTTTTAAGATATGCTTAGCAATGTATTTCTTGTGGTTTATATTCATCATGGTACTGACATCTCTACAGAAGCCAAGCTCAGGGACGCCTGGGTGGCTCAGTGGGGTAAGCGTCCGCCTTCAGCTCGGGTCATGATCCCAGGGTCCCGGGAACAAGTCCTGTGTCAGGCTCCCCGCTGAGTGGGGAGCCTGCTTCTCCTTCTGCCTGCCGCTTCTGCCCCACCCCCGCCCCCACCCCGCTTGTGCAAGGTCTCTCGCTCTCTCTCTGATAAATAAATAAATAAAATCTTAAAAAAAAAAAAAAGCCAAGTTCATTTCTCACGTACCTTATGAGAACACTCAGAGCACCCAGCGGGGTGACCAAGGTGGCAGGTGCAAAAGCATAAGCTGCAAAATTGGCTGCTTCTCCGGCTCCCACTGGAAAGCAAGCCACAGTGGTCATATGAGAGATGGACTTACTTTCAGAAGAGAAAAAGCAGTAACACATGCAAAGTGGTGGACTTCTATCCCAAAGATACTGACAGATCCAGCTAAAAGGAGCAATTTAACATTTTCTTATGGAGGGTGCGGGAGGATTGGTATTAAGGGATACAGATAAACTGTAATTACCTGGTGATTTGAACTCAATGCAAAAAGTGGTGACAGATGAATACACATTTTAAGTGACTTCCAACAGAGATTTTAGGTATGTCACTTCAATAAAATTTAATTGGAGGTGGTTTTGGCCTAAGCAAAGAATTATTCTATGTGCTCAAGAACACCTACTGTTATGCACATTAACAACAACAACAAAAAACCATGTGGCAAATCAGAATGCTTTGCAGAGATCTACTGACCTGGCAGGGGATGGCCAGGAATGCCTACCACGGGCCCAGGGAGTCAGGCGTCTCTGAATTGTAGATGATCCAAAAGCACCTTAACAGTATCTTAGAAGCTCAAGGAGATCCCAAGGGATGTTTTAAAATCATAAGGATGTGCTCCTGCAATCTTTCTCTTAAATGAGGAACTCCACTTCTGTGAGATGACTTTTAGAGTGAGGGAAACTCCCGCCAACGACAGGACTCTTGTCTGGGGGCCAAATTACTCTTATGGGTTACAACTGAACATTTGCCCACAGAGTGTAGTATTTCATGACGGCAACCTACGGCACTGTAGAGAAAGCTTCTGGAACAGATAAAAGACACCAGAATACTTTTTCTTTTTCCCTCTGGTTGCTATGCTCCCAGGCTTCCCTTCTCCCGCAGCCAAATATGCAGGAGTACTCAGGTTTAGGGAAATAGCATAACACAGGTAGAAGCTTCCAGAACAGAACAATTGGGGGACTGCTCTTCTAAGAAGAGCCATGGTAGTTTTCTTCAAATATGAAACTTTCTTGAATACTTGATAGTATTTATATTTTTATCTCTACAGACAGCTTCCCAGGAAAATATTAATTTCACGATTGAAGTGCTGTATGTTTGTCACTAGATAAAATCTCTAATGTTGTAGAGTTCTGCTTTTCTCTCTTCAATAGCGGTATGAACCTTGTGCATAATGGAAATAAAACTGTAAATGTAGCCACATATCATTCTCCTTCTATCTTCACCCTATTGTGCGAGTAGAGGGTGGGGAGACCCAAGGAGAGAGAGAAGAGGAGAAAAAAAATCATCCAAAGTATCTCTCTGGGGTCTTCTCAGTTCAGTCCCTGTCAACTTTTATTCCAATGAAGTAAGAAAACAGAAAACACCTTAACAACTGAAAGGGCTATACAAGTTTAAACTTAATTTTTATTTATCATCTTTTGAGATTCTTATATTAAAGCGAAGTTACCCAATTCTTTTGCATAAGAGGACCACACAAGTCCTGAAGTGTGTCACTGAAGTGTATGGGAAGATAGATGGAAGAGTCTGAAGGCTTCTTGCCGCGGAGGGAGATGGTGGTGAGGAACGAGAAGCTCCCACCTTCGGAGGTTTTAGGTTGGGGATTTAAGAATATTCAGAGGAGGTAGAATTTGGAATCCCTGCATCTCGTTAACAATGAAGCAGAGTTGGAACGTGCCGGCTTTCCTCAGCAAGCTATGGACGCTTGTGGAGGAAACCCACACCAACGAGTTCATCACCTGGAGCCAGAATGGCCAGAGTTTTCTGGTTTTGGATGAACAAAGATTTGCAAAAGAAATTCTTCCCAAATATTTCAAGCACAATAATATGGCAAGCTTTGTGAGGCAACCGAATATGTATGGTTTCCGTAAGGTTGTGCATATTGACTCCGGAATTGTAAAGCAGGAACGAGATGGTCCTGTTGAATTTCAGCATCCTTACTTCAAACAAGGCCAGGATGACTTGTTGGAGAACATTAAAAGGAAGGTTTCATCTTCAAAACCAGAAGAAAATAAGATTCGTCAGGAAGATTTAACAAAAATTATAAGTAGTGCTCAGAAGGTTCAAATAAAACAAGAAACTATTGAGTCCAGGCTTTCTGAATTAAAAAGTGAGAATGAGTCTCTATGGAAGGAGGTGTCAGAATTAAGAGCAAAACACGCACAACAGCAACAAGTTATTCGAAAGATCGTCCAGTTTATTGTTACATTGGTTCAGAATAACCAACTTGTGAGTTTAAAACGTAAAAGGCCTCTACTTCTAAACACTAATGGAGCCCAAAAGAAGAATCTGTTTCAGCATATAGTCAAAGAACCAGCTGATAATCACCACCATAAAGTTCCACACAGTAGGACTGAAGGTTTAAAGGCAAGGGAGCGGATTTCAGATGACATCATCATTTATGATGTAACTGATGATAACGCAGATGAAGAAAATATCCCAATTATTCCAGAAACTAATGAGGATGTTATATCTGATCCCTCCAACTGTAGCCAATACCCTGATATTGTTATTGTTGAAGATGACAATGAAGATGAGTATGCACCTGTCATTCAGAGTGGAGATCAGAATGAACCAGCCAGAGAATCCCTAAGTTCAGGCAGTGATGGCACCAGTCCTCTTATGTCTAGTGCTGTCCAGCTAAATGGCTCATCTAGTCTGACCACAGAAGATCCTGTGACCATGATGGATTCCATTTTAAATGATAACATCAATCTTCTGGGAAAGGTTGAGCTGTTGGATTATCTTGACAGTATTGATTGCAGCTTAGAGGACTTCCAAGCCATGCTGTCAGGAAGACAGTTTAGCATAGACCCAGAACTCCTGGTTGATCTTTTCACTAGTTCTGTGCAGATGAATCCCACAGATTACATCAATAATACAAAATCTGAGAATAAAGGATTAGAAACTACCAAGAACAATGTAGTTCAGCCAGTTTCAGAAGAGGGAAGAAAATCTAAACCCAAAACAGATAAGCAGCTTATCCAGTACACTGCCTTTCCACTTCTTGCATTCCTCGATGGGAACCCTGCTTCTACTGTTGAACAGGGGAGTACAGCATCATCAGAAGTTATGTCCTCTGTAGATAAACCCATAGAAGTTGATGAGCTTCTGGATAGCAGCCTAGATCCAGAGCCAACCCAGAGTAAGCTTGTTCGCCTGGAGCCATTGACTGAAGCCGAAGCTAGTGAAGCCACACTGTTTTATTTATGTGAACTTGCTCCTGCACCTCTGGATAGTGATATGCCACTTTTAGATAGCTAAATCCCCAGGAAGTGGACTCTACATGTATATATTCATCAAAATGATGAACTATTTATTTTAAAGTATCATTTGGTACTTTTTTTTTGTAAATTGCTTTGCTTTGTTTAATCAGATACTGTGGAATCAAAAGCACCTTTTGCTTTTCTCACTTACACACTCTTGCAAAGCTTTCAGATGTTACTCAGCTACGTAGGTACACAAAATTTAATGCACATTGTTGGCATTATCTTTAAGTTGGATTCAAATGGCCATTTTTCTCCACTTGTAGTAACTTGGATTTCTTTTTTACATATATGCCCATTAACCCCAGTTAAACTTTTGTTTGTTTTACTTGTTTGATGCTGTCTGTTTGCATTGAGTGTAAGTCACTAGAACTAATGGTAGAACTCTTAAACCTTTGTCTGTTCCAGTTACTTTTATCAAATATTTTTCACTTGGCTTATTTTTAAAACTGGGAACATAAAGTGCCTGTATCTTGTAAAACTTCATTTGTCTCTCTTGTTCAGAGAAGTTCATTCATGTTCAAAGGAAGGGCAAAGTATACATGAGTGCTTGCTGTCAGATAGGGCTCCAGCTCCATACACGTAAAAAGAAGGGGGATGGGATGGCGTCAGCCCCATCCATCTCATTGGACTAGTTTTAAGTAAAAGTTTTCTGATTTGTTTGTGTTTTTTTTTTTGAACCATACTATTTAGTAAAATAAATATAATGAATGTTGCGTAAAAAAAAAAAAAAAGAATATTCAGAGGAGTTAGGGGAGGAGATAGAAAGCGATAGAAGTGCCCTTGAGAGATCTTCTCTGCACACTGTGTGAGCATCTATGAAGTGTTTTCCCATCCAACAGTCTCAGGTAGTCCTCAGGGCAAGTCTGGGAGAGGGGGCGTGCCGACAAGCTGCATCTTCTCTCCATTTGTTCACTGCTATGCAGCCAGAGGGGACTTTAATCTACCCATGTTTTCATCCTGACCAGGAAAATGTACCCATTCCTTAGAAAACATGCAGCTAGAACAGTCACAGATTCAAATTAGGAGCAGGGAAATGTGGGAAGAAGGCATTTTCCTCACTTGTTCTGGGGAATAAAATATAACCGAAGGAGAGGATTGTGATAAAAGATAATATTTCAAATGTTAACTTTTTCCCCTTGCATTCCAAGACAGTATTGAGAACATGGAGGTACAGGGAGAGACGGGGAATAATTAATTCTAAAAATATAGGACTTATTTTATACATAAGACAATATACACGCACGAAAATTTCTAGACTTGAATGCCATCCTTACCAGAAAGATAAAGTAATCGATGTTGAACAATTCCGTGCAATTTACCATTTTACAAGCAAACATTATTCTCAGCAATAAGGACTTACTTGAGAGTAATCCTGCCCACCAGAGCCATTCCTTGAGGTAAGAATGACCACCTTGTCCTGGGAACATAAGAAAAAAAAATTAGGTTCTTAACTGGAAGAGGAAGGTTTGAAGAACTGACTACTAGGAGAGGAATGTGGTTGGTGGTTGGAAAAGGCAAGACTTAAGTGTCGAGCCCGCTTTCAGGCAAACAGCCTTGAGCAATGGAATGTAGGACAGGCCCACCAGGCGACCCACCTCAAGATGGCCACCAGCCCTAACTGACCACTGGGCTACTTACAATGACGCACAGTTAACCAAAAAAGGGAGAATTCCATACATCCCCATACCTCCTTATCTTCCCCCTTAGAAACAGCCCCCACCCACTACCTCATCGCAGACAGTCTCTCCTCTGCTTTCCTGCCTGCTGCTCCCTTGTGGTGGTTCAGTCAACTTCCGTCTCCTTTGTTCTGCCTCAGGTGAATTCTTTCACTACCCACACCAGTGGCTTCCACCCTATTGTCGCCCCGCATGTGGGGGCCCCTGTCCTATTGAGAGACACACCATTGAGACCCCACATTAAGGCCAAATCCATATAGCTAGTCTTCAACTTATTTATTTGGTCATTTCTGAAGATCTTCACTTGATGTCTATAGAGCGTAAGTTTTTTCATTTGCAAAACAATTTTGTGTAATCATTAGGTTTACTGTATTTATGCCTGCCAGAGGTGTGGACACAGAATATTATAAGCCCTAGATTCTTTGTTTCAGCTACATTTAAAATTAAAGACAGAAAACCATAAATTGTAAATTATATCGGTGCCTAATGAGGACCTCAAAGGGAAGAAGATGGTTGACAGGAGAGCTTTTGAGATTTTGGATAATCAATCAGAGAATAACAAGCATTAGCCAGCTGGACTCTCCTTATTCTCTACCTTGGCATCAGGAAATTGAGTTTCTAGTCTATTGAAAAGGGTAAAAAGCTTTCCTGAGGTATTCCAAGGGTTATCTTTTCTTGACTGTAATCTGTGACCTAAAGTCATTGTTATGTTTGCTATAGAAAATGGAATTTTCTCACCAATTTTAATATACTTAATCCTATGCATTTGACCTCTCTGATTTTGTTATAATTAAACAGGGTGTATCAGCTGTGAAGATTATCTTGCAAAGTAGTTTATTTATTTAGGATTTTCTTCTTACAAACTGTGCACATGATTAAATTGGAATATTGCAATATATTTTCATAATCTGTCTTTTAAAAACTTAATATATCATAAATACTTTCTCATGTCCTTAATTAATGATTGAATATTATTTCAAAATCTGGCATATCATTATTTACTTAACCTGTGTGCAGCTACACATACACACACACACACACACACACACACAGGGTTTCACTTTTCTTCTCATTATATAAAACCCTTAAATAAATATCCTGGTATGTAACTATAGGTGGCATCCTTGTTCACTTCTTAAGATAAATTTCCAGATGTGGAATTATTAGGTTTTAAGACATTGACATTTTTAAGCTTTAGCAAATTGCTCTTAGGAAATTCTGTACCCGTTTATACTGCCTCCAGCAATGTTTGGAAGGGCTATTTATTTTCCAAAATCCCTTACCAACATATGGCCTTTTAAAGAAAAAACAAAACCTTGTTAAGATGGTAAGCAACAGGGGCACCTGGGTGGCTTGGCTGGTTAAGCATCAAGCGTCTGACTCTTGATTTCTGAAGGGGTCATGATCTCAGGGTCATGATCAGCTCTGTGCTCTCTCTACCCCTTTGTCCCTGCCCTCCCCACCCCACCAAAAAAAGAAAAAAGAAAGAAAGAAAGAAAGAAGAAAGAAAGAAAGAAAGAAAGAAAGAAGAAAGAAAGAAAGAAGAAAGAAAAGAAAGAAAGAAAAGAAAGAAAGAAGAAAGAAAGAAAGAAAGAAAGAAAGAAAGAAAGAAGAAAGAAAGAAAGAAGAAAGAAAAGAAAGAAAAGAAAGAAAGAAAGAAAGGAAGAAAGAAAGAAAGAAAGAAGAAAGAAAGAAAGAAAGAAAGAAGAAAGAAAGAAAGAAAGA